CATTGGGTTGGGGGTGGGGGATGGGAGCTGGCACAGGCACAGTGACCTGGTTGGTTGCGAGGCCCAGTAGGTGAGGCTGGTGGTGGAGAGAGGTTGCATTGTCCCAGGGCTGTTGGTGCAACCCTCCCTTAGCAGGGGCAGCCCCAGAAAACAGCTGTGGTACAGGAAGCAGTGAAAAGAGCACTGGACCAGGAGTTAACACTGGATGAGGGTCAGGTACTAGCTCAGCGTGGACTTGGGCCGTACTCTTTCTTTCTCTGGAAGAAGTTGAACAGGCTATCTCAAAGTCTCTGGGAGATCTGGTATTCTATTTCCAGGAGAACATAGGGCTATGGCCAAGAGACCCTGCTCCCACTCCCAATTTTTCAACACCCCTTGCTCCTGGGGAGGAGCTGAGCCTGAGTGCTCCTGTGATGGCCTGAGGAAGAAGCCTGGAGTTTGACAGGGTTGGAAGGTGAAAGAGAGGCCTCATAAAGCTTGTAAAGCCCACAGCTCATGGGCCAGGGGCCTATGTGTTGTAACTATATGAAGGCTCAGCAGATCTGGCATGCAGGCAAGGGACACAGACCCAGACCCAGACATGCCCCCATCACCCCTGGCTTATACCTAAGGGTTCAATGGCCCTTCAATCCCAACTCGAAAGTCAGTCCATGTGCTCTCCCCCATGTGCTGAGCGAAGTGTCTTGTGTCAGGGATGGCACATCGCATAGCTTATCCTGATTCCCCCACTCTTAGTTCCTGCCTCCTAAATCCTGCAGCAGTTGGATCTTCTTAGGGGTCCAAGAAGGTAACAATGGAAGGTCTTTGGGCTATTTTCGATATTTCAGAAAGCCTAACGGAACACATGCATTTACCTGATAAGGCAGCCTGGACTAATTAAAACCTCAAATATATTTACTTTTGGCTAAAATTATATCAACTCATGTAGCTCTGATTGGCAGCTATATGTCTTCTTGTGTTAACTTCTAGTTAATAAAAAACAGGAAAAAAGAATTAATTGTGCCTTACAAAATGTAGTTTGGCAGATAAACTCTTATAAAATATACAGTCCAAGTGAAGAAATAATTGCTATAATTTATTTCGAAGCCTCAGAACCTTGAAATTCTAGAACTGGTTCTTGGAGACACAGGCTCCAAGATGGAGGCACCGTAGAAAGCATCTACTCGTTTAAAGACTTTTTTGTAGATGTCTCCGGGCTGCCACGTGGAGTAAGGAGAGGCTAGTTTGGTCATCTTCTTTTAGAGCAGCCTCTTTTCCCTGTTTTATATAGAATGGTAAGATATCATTTGAATTTAAAAAAAAAAAAAGAAAGAAAGAAAAAATCTTTAGTTAAAAAAACCCTGTTGATAGAGTCACATGTCCTTATTTTACAGATGGGAAAACCAAGCTCCAGAGAAGTTAAGTAAATGTCCAAGGTCACTCAGAATCCTTCCCAACATAAGAACCTAATTCCTAGGCCAGGGTTCTCATCTACCCTGTTGCCAATTTATCCCCTCCTTTCCTCTCCTCTCCACTATCTCCCTAGCCAGGCTTCTGATTAACCAAGATCCTGTTCAGTACGTGGTTACTGTTTGACCGTGTTGGCCTGACAAGGTTGAGAGTAGAGAGTAGCAAGAGGACCAGGGCCCAGCTCCTGCAGGTCTGGCCAGGGCAGAGGAGGACACCTAGTTCTGGATCCCCCAGTGTATTCTCAAAGGAAATTGCCTCCACTTGTGGCAGTACCAGACGTGAAAGGAGTGGGGAGGAAGGCTGGTGCACCTTTCCAGCTCCTGTCCTAGGCCAAGTCACTTCCCGTCTCTAAGCCTTGGATTCTCTACCCATAAAACGATGGGGTTGCCCTTGAACGGTCCCTAAGCTAACTTCTAGTTCTAAACTTCTATGACTCCTAAAGCTTCGGTTTATATATAAAATAAAATGGGGCAATGATGCTTTTTCTGCCTAACGCAAGGATTTTTGTAATGATCCAATGAAAAAATTGATATGAAAGTGCTAAGGAACGTGAGAGACTATTATTACTATCACTGCAAATAAGAAATGGAGGAAAACTTAAAGAGCTAGGTGGTATCTAGGGAGGAGAGAAGCAGAGACAGAAAACAGCCACCTCATAACAATCATGCCTCCCATGTATTTGATCATCTTCTATGGGCCAGGTGCCTTTTATATATATTGTCTCGTTTAGTCCTCAGAACAATCTCATATGTTAGGCTTCTGATTTTTATGAGAAGACCAGGCTCCAAGAACTTAAGTAACTGGTCCCAGGTCATACAAGGAACAAGAGTGATGCAGTCAGGGCACACACCCAGCTCTGCCTGACTTAAGGCTTGGCCCTTTCCTACCACGCAAACTCTCTTGTGCTCGCCCTGCCCTTACATGCTGTTTTGCTGTCCGTAGTGAGAAGTGATGCAGAGGGACCAAGAACACTGAGGCCCTCCTCTTCTCCAGCAATGACCCCAGGTGAGGGGCTATGTTTGTCCCCTGTGGGCAGGAGGTAGACAAAGGCCCAGCTGTGTGGGGAGAAAGGTCACTAAGGAGGTGGAATATTCAGTCCCACACTAAGAGAGTAATGTAAAGAGAAAATGAGAGGACCGCAAGCTGGACACCTGGGTTCTCTTGGGAGGAGAGATGAGCAGAAGGAAAGCGGGGAGGGATAAGAATGCAGGATCCTGTTTAAGAGGAGGGCTTTAGGGACTTTGGAATCAGGCCACGGGCCAGACAGACACCTAGGGAACCGGAAGTGTGTAAAAGTCCAGATGTTTTCGAGGAGTGTTTTAAAAGGAAGATGACACTCCTATTAGGTGGGGGGCGGGGTAAGAGGAAGGTTATCCAGATATGGGGAGGATTCCATCCCCTCCCTCTCTCCCTCTTCTCTATTCCATTAGGGTTGTGGTAAGCAGTTTGAGGGGGCCTTGGGGAGGCCAGGCCTGGCAGAGACTCCAGCCTAGGGTGATGCAATGGGGTTTGGGCAAGAGGCCAGGGGGTTTGGGTGGGGGTTGGGTGGGGACCTTGAATAGCTCAGAACCAACAGCTGAGGCCTAACCATCTTTCTTTTTTCTCATCCCAAGTCCTCCAGACAATAGAGAAATTTGTCCCCCCTCTTTAATTGAATTAGCTAGATTAACCCCTTTTCTCTAAAAATTAAAGAAAATGAGTAGAGTTAAATTAACTGTATCAGATGTAAAAACAGCTCACCTCTGACAGAGATCCTATCAAACCTTGAGATACTCATAGTTGGAGTGGGGGTGGTGATGGGGAGCAGTGGGAATCAGAGCCCAGAGATGTAGGAGAAAGGACCAGTTATGGTGGAGGATCAGGAATCTGGCATCTGGGAGTCCCTGTCCCAGTCCAGGAGCAGCTATCTTCCTCTCTTACCCGCCCCCCACATTTAAATAAACACCCCAGTTCTAACGTTGCCTCAGTTCTAATTCGGGTTGCCCCCTGACTGCGGGCTACCTATTTTCCAGGCTCTCAGTGTCCGGTCTGCTTGTCACCCTGATTAGCTGGGAATGAAGATCCTCCTTTGACCCTTCCCCAGTTTCTGATGTCCTGTGTTCAGACGCTAATCTTAGGCCCAGCGAGCGCGCGTCTCCCCAACTTCCGACCCCAGCCCCAGAAGTCCCGGTCTCAGTTCAGCTCCAGCCCACAAGCTACAGGAAATCAGCTTTTCTCTTCCTCCCCAGAGCTAGAGGAAGAGGGAAACCGCCCACCCCCATTCACGCGCGCACACACACCCCTCCCGACACAGCCGAGCACCCGCCCTTGGCTGAGCCCACCCCCAGCCCCGGCGCCACCAGTGCCAGGGTCCCGGGACTCTCCCCAAGTTCCAGGATCCCCTCGTTTGAACAGAGATTGGGGGTGGAGGGCGGAGTAGGAGACCGAAGAGAAAGGGGAGGGAGCCGCCGTTCCCCTCTTGGGTCTCTCCTAGTCTGAGTTGAGGGGGGAGGGGAGGATGAGGCTGGCCCCCGTTTAACCTCTGGGCTCCGACTCTCCTCTTAACTACACACAGTTCATTCTGCTCCTACCAGTTCTCTCTTCATACAATGGCCCTCAGGGGTCCTGAGGTCCCCCTGTGCACCAAAACGCCCTTCCTGGCCTCTGTGCCCCTTCTCCGCCCCCATCCGCCTGGGTCTCGGCAGCTCACAGAACTCAGCCGGACACCCTCTGCTCTCCATTCACGCGCCCTCCTCTCCCTGGCCCCGAGACCCCTGCCCAGACTTCTCTAGGTTGCAGCTTCGTGTCCTCTCCCCATCCCGCACATGTCTCCCCACTGATCTCTCTCAAACTCCAGGCCCCCCTCCACGCCGACCACTGTCCCCTCCCTACTCCAGCGTGGGCCCCCAACTCTAGCGTGGGCCCCCAACTCCAGCCCTAGTCCGTCCAAACTCCGCCTCTCAAATTCAAGTCTTGGTCCCCTCCAGACTCCAGCCGCGCCCCCACTTTCCAGGCGTCCCCCCTCCCAATATCCCGCCGCTAACTCTCCTCACTCACCCGTTTGTCCCCGGCCGGTAAAACTCCACCGAGAAGCCAAAGAAGGAGCCCGGGGGCCCAGAGAGCACTGTTGGGGCCTCCGCGTCTAAGTTGAAGCCCCCGACCCTGGGTGGCGGCGGCAGCAGCAGTAGCAGCAGCGGCAGCAGCAGCGGCAGCAGCGGGTGTCGGCGCCGGGGGCCCCAG